TTAATTTCCTACTATCAGCAATTTAAATTGTGTTAAATATGTTTTTAATTTCTTAATTTTTAGTAAAATTTAGAATTAATTTATCTATGAAACTTTGATCCAATTTAGTATTATAACTTTATAAATGCCTGAATTTAATTATTCTAATAAAATTTTGTTAAATTTATTTGAGACTTCAAGCGTGTTTCTCAATAAAGTAAATTTACAATATATAAGTGTGTGCAAACATCTTCTTACAAAACAATTTTATAAGATTGAGTTAGACTTTAAGTTCACAATCTCTAACACTTTGTTCAATTGAATGAATTTAGGGGAGAGTGATTGAATGAATTTGAGAGGATTTGAAGGTAAATTTTGTTGTTGTTTAATTGAGTGGATTTGGAGGTGTGTGAGAATGGATTTGAAAGTAATTTTTTTTAATTTGTCACATCAATCAAAGCCTACACTGATTCTCACAAACTTTACTTTCAAATCCACTATTACTTACCTCCAAATCCACTCAAATAAACAACGAAAAAATTTACCTTCAAATTCATTCAATCACTCTCCTCCCAATCCATTCAAGTGAACAAAGCCTAAGTGTTTAAGTATGTTTAAATGTAGCATTAACATTCAGTCAAAAATGTTAAGTGGACTTTAAGCTTAACTCAACCCCACAAAACTAACTTGTAAGGTGAGGTTTGCACATACTTTTATACTATAATTTGGCATTATCTCTAATCAATGTGGAACTTCCAACACACTCCCTCACACCGAGGTATATACATCTCGAGCGTGAGACTAGACATTAATGGATAGCTCAATAGCAGGTGGAACAATATGTCCATACAAATCTTGCTAGGATAGACTCTAACCTGCCTCTTCTACAATTTGATGTGAAAAATGCTTTTCTACATGGATGTAGGAAAACATTTTTCACCCAAATTAGTATTATTAGGGATAGGATCAGAAGGTACCTCTAAAGAGTCAAGCCAAATTTGTGGAAAAGATTGAGCCAATTGGTTATGATCAAAAGACACTATTATTCGAAAAAGAAATGTCCATAGTTAGGATTGACTTAGTTCCTACAGAATGATCCTCACACGATAATTTATCTTCACAATATAATTTTATAGCTGAGATATCAAACATACTAACATTATGATTATGCACTTCACTTTCATTATCTCCCTAAAGTGGAGAATCAACATAAAATATTTATACTCATTAAATGACACATCATAGAGATATAAAATTTTGTTTGATGGTGGATGGTAAGCACGATAACCTTTTTTAGTTGATCCATACCCAACAAAAACACATTTGATAGCTCGTTCTTCAAGCTTTATACCTTGATATGGGTGTTAGTGAACATATATAACACATTCAAAAACATGAGGTGGTAAATAAACTATGGAAGGAAGGATACAATGATCAGGCCACACATCGAAAGGCCTTCAAAAGTTAAGCATACTGGAAGGGGTTCGATTAATTAAATAAAAGACAGAGCTCATAGCCTCACTCCATAAATGAGATGGGACATTACCATTTATCAAAAGTGATCTTGTTATCTCTAATATATGTCTATTTTTTTCTCAGCCACTCCATTTTGTTGTGGTGAATAAGGACATGTAGTTTGATGTAAGATACCTTTAGAGTTCATGAACTCTATTAATTCAGTCTTAAAATATTCTCCTCCATTGTTTGATCGAATGACTTTATTATATGTGTTAAATTGTGTAACTATCATATGATAGAAGGAACGAATCACATCACACACATCACTTTTATTTTTAAGCAAATATACTTAGGTTACCCGAGTACAATCATCAACAAAATTGATAAACCATTTTTTTCCATTATGTGTAGATTTTGGGGCAGGGCCCCAAACATCTGTGTGAATTAATGAGAAAGGAAAATCAATTTTTTTATTGCTTAAAGGAAATATAACACGATGACTTTTTGCCATTACACAAGTTTCATAAAGAAAATCAGAAATATTGCATTTATGAAATAATGATAGAAATAATTTTTTTAGATAACCAAAAGAGGGATGTCCCAATCGTCTATACCATAATCAAATTTCCTTTTTGTTTTTATCGTGTATGTGGTCATTCGCAAGACAATTCAACGCTTCTTTATGGGTTTGTTGAGAGACATTTTCAAGATAATATAGTCATTCTCTCTCCCCCTCCCCAGTGCAAGCTTCTCCTTGGAATGAATGTTCTGAAAAAGACAATGGGTTGGGTAAAATGAGGTAACACAAGAACGTGATTTGGTTAACTTGTTTGCAAAGAGAACATTACAGTTCAATGTAGGAACAAATAAAACATCAGAAATCGATAAGGAGGGTGAAAGAGATATAGTACACACACCTTCAATAGGAGATGAGACCCTATTGTCATTAATAATAACAGTTTTAGAACAATTAGGAGAAAAATTAGTAAATTTATGAGGATCACAAGTCATATGATCAATAGCACCTGAATCAATTATCCAATTACTATCTTTAGTAATAACAGAAAGATTAAGAACATAGTTAGATATAATTGACTTGGTCACAAATCTGGCAGCAGTAGAAATATGGCTCTTGAAAATAGCTTCTACCTTGATATTGGGAGTAGTTTTGCCTTTTGGATGCCGATTTGGATAGCTATGGAGTTTAAAACATGTCTCCATGACATGATTATTCCCATTGCAGTGGGTACACTTGTGAATTCCTTTCTTAGGAAACTTCTTAATAATAAAAGAAGTCCCCATAGTAGACTCACTATCAAGCATAGCCTCTTGGCAGTTTCCCTCGGCACAAACAATTGCATAAACAGATTGAACATTTGGAAGGGGAGTGGTAGCAAGGATACGACCACGAACGACATCCAAATGTGTATCCAGGCCAGCCAAAAAAACATAAACTCGTTGAGAATTAATCATTTTATTATATTTCTCAACATCTTTAGGACATTCCATGGTACAATTCGTGATAGTATTATACTTTAGTCATAATCTTTGCAATTTACCAAAATATGTAATAACAGATCTTCCATTTTGCTGAGTAGAGATTATCTCTAATCGATGTGGACTTCCAACAAAAAAATATAAATTATATAAAACTAAGAATATCTTATGTAGAGGTAAAAGTTATTGTTTATATCCATCTATCCTAAAAAAATTTCTCATTAGTTGAGTTTACAATAATAGCTCATAGAACTTCATTTGGTTCTATACCAAAACATAATAAGTAGGTGTCGTTGCTGATCTTTTACTTGCAAGATGCCGAAATACAAACAACAAAGTTAAATGAACTTGCATAGTAATTATGTAGAGAGTGCATATCATTCTAGTGGAAGATATAAGTTGAAAGACAAACATAATGTTTAAATAATATAATCAAAATTTTGGAATAACATGTGACAAAGATTGTAGGATTGACCTACTGAAACAACTTAATATGGAGAACTTCTTTTTACACTAATGTTTTCCTTCTACAATTCATAGATGTTAAAATTCCTATTATTTCTTTGTTATGAAAAGACTTGACCAAAAGGTTTGAGAGAACATTATAGATGTATATGGAATGAAAGAAAAGATAATTGGAAGTCGTCTTAAAAGTTTTTTTTTTTCAAAAATGATTTTTGAATTGTACATTCCATAATAGAATCTTGGGAATGATTTTGAGATTTAAAAGTCTATTACATATTGCACAATAAAAGTAGTTCATGGTTTGTCTTTTGGTATTTCATTTATAAGTTACTCTTCACAGTAAAAGTTTAGCTTGTGAAATATCATTTTCCTTCACATTTCTTGACCTTGTTTTGTGTTATTATTGACCAGATAATGTGACATCCAATGGACTTAAACTATCAACCTTTTGAAACTGAGACATTATTTCTAACTCTTCGTCCCACATTCTATACTTGGTATTCTGAAATAAGGATGTAAAAATTTTGTAGAAATTAATTTCTACACAAAAGTGTAGAAATTAATTTCTTTTCTTAAAATACTCGATGCAGACAACACAAATCCAATTTGAGATACAAATTCAGTCATTGTAAAATTTATTTCACATAAAATACATCATAGTTCTATAAGAAATTCATGGGTACACTGCGATGAAAGTGAAGTGGATTGTATTGTTATGGTATAAACTTTTCTAAAACATTATTTGAAAAAGAATAAATTATACAAAATAAGTTTCTTTTTAGATAAAATTAACTTATGCTGTAATGTCTCACTTCGAGTTATATTATTATTAACCGATATAAAATAAATAAACATTCTTAAAATTAAAACTTCCCTCACTGTATATGTCAACCAATTAGTGCATAGAAAATTATATTCAGTTTTTGAAAGAATAGTCAAAAGTTGCTTTTCACTTTGTTGATTTTAACACTAAATGCTTTCTCCGACTTTGAATTCAGTCTCTGTCTTTGAAATATCGCCATGAACTACATTTATATAATTATATACTTTTAAAATTTATAAATTTCAACAATTTCAATACAAATATTTAAGTTTATTTAAAAATAATAATTTTATAAATTCAAATATAAATTTTTTTAAATAATTTTAAGCAATATAATAAGTTGAAACAAATAAAATTAAATTTTTAAAATCTAAATATAGATAAACTTAATCTTCTTAAAAATATTTAATAAAATATAAATTTTAATAAAATATTTATATAACATTTATATAAAAATTAAATTTCATTTTCATTAAACTAATGACATCTAATATAACAATGACACAAATGAATCCAAATGTAATATCATACTATTACTACCACCTAACATGACGTAAGTTTAATAGTGACAAATTTTTATTTTTTTAAAATAGTTTTAAAAATAAAAATATTTAAATAAAAGATATCTCTTTAACATTTTTAATGTACTATTAATAGAAAATGCTTAATTGCATTAAATTTTTTAAAATAAAAACTAAATTATGACATGAAAATAAATATCAATTTGAGACTTTCGCTTAAAAATGCAAACGAATGAAATTATTTATCATGACTTAATTTACCTGAAACGGAAGTTAGCACTAGCTTGGGTTAAATAAATGATTCCAGTGTCCATATCTATGTCAATTCCATCAAGAAAGTCAAAAGTAAAGTTGCCACGATTCTCTTGTGGTTGCAGAATTTGGAAAGATTGAATCGGTGCCCCTCCATTGGGTCCAATCTTCACGAGCCCAAAATAAGCATCTGCGACATATAGTTCGTTTGTTTGATGGTTGAAACGTAATCCTAAAGGTCTTCCACATTGTGCTTGGACTTCTGAGAAATCAGCAAGCCCATCACACAATGTTTTGTTCCTGAATTCGACCACCAAACCAACATCAAAATATAGGATGATCTTCGGATAATGTCACAGAGTTACTGTTACAATATTCATTGAGACTAAGAGAGAGTAGAATTAGATCCATGTTTGAAGTTTACCTGGTTGGTGAAGTGTAGCCATATTCCTGGAATCCCCTTGGACCTACGTATTTGAGAATTCTTCCATCAGAAACACCGACGTATGGCCCTTCACCGTTTCGATCAAATGCTAGAGACTCAGGGCCTGTGATTGGTGACGGTAGTGGTAACCTTGTCCGAGATACAGCCACTGATGGTGAACACAGAAGGAATGCCATAAATATTGCAGAGAAAGTGATAACCATTGTGATTTTAGACAACATATTGCTAATGATGTTTTATCAATGTATGACACGAACCTCAGCATTCAGTGGTAGTATTTATAGGCTTATGTTTACGTGCGCAATGCAAAAGAACCGTGAAGAACCCAACTTTGTAACAACCTTGGTCAAAAAAACATAGAATTTAGGAACACCAATATGTCGTAAACGGTCATAGTTTCCTGTGAGAATGGATTTGG